AGTCTAGTATAACTTTGAAAGTCTGATGTATTCGTAACTGATAATTCTTTGAAAAATGTAGTTGTGTAAATCGTGTTTGTGTAAATCTTAACAGCAGCACACATAAGAACAATGGCCCAGAGCTCCAATTCGGTTATATGCACCTCCACTGGCGTATTATTAACTGGCAACTAATTTTCAAAGCGCGCGGTCTCGAGCTACCGCGTACAAAAATAAGGGTTAACGGTTGTGGGCGGTGAGACGCTGCAGCAAGCGCCTCACCGCCCATGTCGTTGCCCCTAGTGTAAACGGGCCTTTATATACACTGAGGCTGAGTCATAGTGCCGAGGCACGAACCGAGAGTAAATTTCGAACCTCAAGCCATACCTGAATGTCGACACTACGCGAAATTCTGCATGAAATTGAATTCAATAGGTGGGATCTAAATAGGCAAAAGAAATAACACATGAACATAAATAGGTTATCGAGTAAATAGCTGAACATAATAGGAAGTTCTAAATAGGTAGTTAAATTAACCTGTGAACATAAATAGGTGATCGAGTAGATAGTTGAACCTACTGGTAAGAACTAAATAGGTAGTTAAATTAACTTGTGAACATAAATAGGTTATCGAGTAAATAGCTGAGCCAGCTAGGAAGATATAAATAGATGCATCGTTTCAACGTAGGTTTCTTTCACGAAGCAAAAAGAGTTTATCCGAGTGAAATTAAGCGATGTTTAGGTCGGGTCTCGCCAGGTGCCCCCCAAGAAGATATTGACGCGAGGCCACATCTGTTCGAGGCATCGGTGCGTGGGGGGCGAGAGTTGATTTGACGTTAATATGTTCATACTGTATATTTATCTTCATATGTTCATACTGTATATTTATACGCGCCTCCCTGGGGCTATGCTTAGAGCAGCGCCAGCTCGATATTCGTATTGATTAGCTCGCTTCAAAGCAATAAATGCCATGCTCATGAGAAACGAGGTCGGGTTTAAGAGAAAATAGAACTTCGATGATCCTCCATACTCAGTTTTCTGTTAAAGTTTTCATAACGTGGTCTGCTTGGATATTTTTAAACTGGTAGAATTTTTTATTGATATTATTGTTAATATTCTAAATCTCGTTTCTAATAATTACAATTTATATTATATTCTAAATGTATTTTAAATCGCGTTTCCGTACAATTTTCTTGATTTATTTCTTCAAAATAGTTCAGAGGAACTCATTATCTTTTACCTGATCTCAGCTTCACAGACAGAAATCTAACATTATATAGTTATGTCAAGTCAGAACATTAAAACTGCTTTCTTGATGTTTCGTGAAATGCATGAAAACAACGATCGTGAGTCGACAAGTGAGGCAAATCATTTCGATACAAGATCATCACGAGCTCTTGGTTGTAGCTCAAGAATCAAGCATCGCCAGCTGCTAATTATAATTCAATAGCTTAATGGGTGCGTGGCCGTAAATGAGCGTTTTTTGCTACATTTATTGGAGATGCTCCGTTTAAAGAGACCATGCGTGAGCTTAGAAGTCTTGCCGTCTTTATCAAATAATATTGAAGTGTCGGTGCAGACTCTTAAATTATGCGCTAAACGCTCAAATTATGCGCATCAATCAAAGTTAATTTTAATTGATGATCAATTAAAAATGTACATGATAACTCACAAAAGTATATGTAGAATGATGTTCACACCTAATAAACTTCAAGCCTTTTAATTGAATTGTTCACGCCATTTAAGTGAGATCTTATAAGTAGTTGGTATAAAAATTTTTATTAGCTACGTTGTATTTTTTACTTAACTCAGCTTCTGCCAAAGAACTTTTTCAGATAATTAGTCGAAATATAAAATCAATGCAGCTGTGAACCGAAATATAACATTATGAATAATCTCATGTGAATTGCGGTTCTTGGAGGTTTATTTGGCCACCGGCAAGGTGAGAGGGTCCCTCACATACTCACGTCAGTCACTCATGAGCAGTCAGTGTGTGAGGTGGTCGGTGCTCAGAGAACAGCCACAGCGATGTCAACAGATCATCATGTGGTGGTCGCAACTTGGCAATCATAACGCGTGTTCTAAAAAACACATTTTAGTGCCGTAAGAATTGCTGCGCAGGTTTGGGCTGCAATTATGACGGGCGTAAAAAGAAGTTCATCACTCGTCGCAAAAATCAGGACAATCGACCTTAAATGGTATTTTTGCTCTGTATGTTTATATTAATTATGTATTGTGTTCATATAGACTTATCGATTTACCTATTGATATTTCTTAAAGTCAAGGTCACCTGTTGCATTTGAGAAAAGAGAAACATTTCAACTTCGCGCGATTAGCAAACAAGTTTTGTTACACTAAACAAGGATGAATCATTACATTACATGTTATACTTAATATTGGAAGTTTCATGAAGTATTTTTGAGTTTAGCATTAAATTTTCAAGACTAGATGTTTTTGTCAAGCGTTGGTGCCGTTACAAAATTGAACGGCTTCAATAGCTCTGGGTTGTTGGAGCTATACTCCGAAATAAAGATTTATTTTGTTCACGCCATTTTAATTTAATAGTCATGAAATTTAATAATAATGAAAAGAATAAACTACATATTTGCATTTTTGCAAATTAATTCGTGAACTTTTTGATGTTGCTTTCTTCCGAAATGGAAAGTTAAAATGATTGACAAGTATTTAAACAAATGCATTATTTGATGAAAGCCTAGCATGAGCATTGCAGAAGTAATATGCAGCAATTAGTTAAATGAGAAATATGTTGGCGCACGAAAATGTATCCGACTAATAACGAAATTCATTTGAAAGTTTGTGCTTAAATGGTTATACATGCTCTCAAATTACATTCTCATTTCAATTTAAGAGAAAAATTTCCTTTAGATTTTTTAGAGAATATGTTAAAAAATGTTTCGTAGCACGTTAATTCACATTTAAAACAATGCGAATATTTGCTTGACATCGTTCAATTATGTGCTTTATTCATGCTTTGCAACATCATAAATTTCAAATTATCTGCAGCAGTGATCCGTAACAATAAATTAGACGTACGTCTTGGCCGTCGATGCATCTGAATGCACCGCTGCATCAACAACGCTGAACGTTGTTCGATTGCCGGTTTTTTGTAAGTGCGGACGATTTATATGCGCGCCATTTCTCAGAGACGTGAAACTCACGATCAGTAAGCAATATAATTCATTTTAAATAGAAAGGAATAGAACAGCTTGAGCTGAGAGTTTTGCAAATCAAATTCGATTAAAGGCTTAGAGTTTGGTTAGTAGAGATTTATAAATAAAGTATTAAATTTGGCGGCCTTAAAATTATGGAAATATTTCAAAGAAATAAGAATTAATTACATATCACTTTGGACATTTAGAGGCACCAACATGCATCTCAAGTACGTCATAATGAAATAAAATCAAGTTTAATGACGGCAATGTTGGACAAAAAACTGTTCGTTTTCTAGAAACCGCGCTGGTCACGTAGACTAAAAGCAGGCGTAGGACTGTGCACGCAGTAACTTGGAACTACCGATGAAACTACTCGTACATACGCACTTAACTGCAACTAAATCAAATTAAATAAAAAAGAGGTCTCTGCTAGAATAACATGGCGGAGCCAGAAATCCAACCAATTTTTAAGGCATATTTCAAGCGCTTTTCAATGACAAGTAATGTCGAATCCAGAAAGCAACAGGAATCAAGCATTAGGAGTGAATTTTAGTTCCGAATGTATTAAAGGCTCAGAGTTACAGTTGGTTTGGGCTCTAATAAGCAAATTTGAATCGATACCGCCATTGGTTATGAGTATATCTTCATTCAAGAACAGGAGTCTTCCATTTTAAAGCGGTTGATCTTAAGTAATACGACCAGGATTATCAAATGCGAGAGCAAGAAGTACCAACTGCACGACACATCTAAGGTTCCAGATGCTGCCACTATCATGTCATGAATGAGTCTTGCATTTAGTGTGGCAGCGAGTGATGCTGCCACTATCATGTTATGAGTGAGTCTTGCATTCAGTGTGGCAGTGAGTGATTGCGAGACTAGAAACGCCTGAATTCATCCATATTTTGAATGATAATGCGAGTGATGAGGCAGTCGGCGCGGCCCAAAGCCGCCTGATTATCACACTAACTTCAGCTCGAATAAATCGCTCATAAAAGACTTGAGTGCAGTAATAAAATAACTGAAGTTGGACGACATAAGAGAATATTGTGGTACGGGTTAATTCTCGTCAGCTCTACGCTTAAGCTCGTGATACTGAAATGTACGTGGAGCTGCTTTTGAAGACTTGAACGCACAATAGCCTATTTGCATTAGTGGACTTAAAAATTAATTCTAACAGATTATTGTAATCTCCTGCATAGATATATGAGAGCTATTAATTCTGGAACGTAACTGATGGAGCGAAATTCAAATCCCAACAACAAAATAGAATTTGAAACGAAAAATGTATTTCGACGTAAGTTAGGTTAGACAATTAGAATTCTCACCTCTAAATTCTTGCTAAGTTTTCGAAAATTGAAGACCGAGATTTGCAAATATTGGCGCCTGCTGAGAAAACTACAATATCAAAGTCTGTCATGGTTCCAGTCTCAGATGCTGGAAAATAGCACTAAATCTTTAATGAAATGTAAACTTACTATGATAACTGATTGTCGTTAATAACAAACTAAGTCGTTCAACTAAAGTAAGTGATAAACTAATAAAATTAAAAGCAATCATTCATGAATTTATCGAAAACTTTGGACAGATTCCAAATTAAGAGCTTCATTTAATATTTAAGCGTGTAGATAATAAAGTATATGGAAGTAGTGGCTTGGCCTTCGGTTAGTACTTTTATATCAGGAATAAATTGAGGTCCTTGCAACTGCGTTCCACATAAATTATCTACTCTGAATTCGAGTCATAATATACTATGAAGTAGCCGTTTAATGTTTGATTGTACAACTATGTAAAAAAAACTTTTATCGGGTGTTTGGCATTTAAATTACTTGACAGGTTCAAAGTTATTTTCGACAGGAAACCTTCTAACGTCGAAGCATGTTTGTCAGCAGTCAGCCTCTGTCTCACTCACAGAAAATCCACGACCCTGGTAGAGTGAAACTTACAGAAGCCGACATAGACGACAATACAGCCAGCGAAGTTTTATTTAATGTTGGGTTGCTGGAAATCGATGCAAATCAAGGAATTTTGGAGAACGAGCTCGACGTAAGTGAGTTGGCTTCAAGTCTCTGCGGAGAAAAGGTCGGTGGTCGGAGACCAGAAGAAACCCTCTCGGCAGAACCAAGCACAAACGATTCTAGTGACTGTGGGAGTCCAAGAGAAGATTCAGTGGAAGACGTCTTGGCATTAGCTAAAGAACGGGAAGAAGAATCAGGGAAGTTATCTGATACATTTGATGATTCTTCGTACGCTGGTTACAATTCCGATGCTGATTCTTCTGAGTCCGCCTGTAAGAAAAATGGACTCTCGAGTTCTGGAATTAGCAATCGCCAGGCTGATTTGCTAGTAAATCGAGTGAACAGGAAGCGGCAAGCAAATGCGAGACTGGGAACAAATGGTGGCCCATTGAAGCAATCTCGAAGTGACGTGTCCCAAGAACCTGACGATGACAGTGACTGTGGCGTACACGGGGAATACGAGCGTACATTGGCCGTGCAATTAAGAGCTGCAGCCATTCTAAGTAACGGCAGCGATCACTCGCTGCAGATTGGCCAGTGCCTAACTTCCACGCATGAAGTGAACATTGGAAGTATCCACACCACACTGAAGAAGAGTCCTAATTTGTTCAAGTTCGGACTTTCTGAGACAAAATCAACTTCAAATAATTCTGACATCTCAACAGATTCTTTGCCGTCACTATTGTCTCTCCCCATCGACCCCCGATTTGCCTCGTACAATCGACCACCACCGTCGCGTCCTAACAGCTACCGATTCCATCACTATGAAAACGATTTAAACACGGAAAGCTCGTACACCTTCACTGATACTTCATACAATTCAACGTTTCAAAACCACCATATGAACGGTCATCAGTCTGCGGTGGAGCTTAAAGCTACTTGTGCTTTCCATGCCCCTCCGTGTCATCAGCCGCAAGCTGAAGGGTCATTTTCTTCAGCTCCTGCTATCAAAATAAGCTTGTCGAACGCTCCTCTGCATCTGCCGCCTCCCAACATACCACCTCCTAATCTTACAAAATTACTGGTTTCCTTTAAATACTCTGGAGAAACTAAGCAATGTGGTCATAACCAAGTAGAAAATCGTCAGGATTCTTTCTTGCCTTTCAGTCACACTTCGGTCTCAAGCTCGTTCCCTTCTCTTCGGGGCTCCGACGAACTGATTGTTAACGGCTTCGTGACTCAGAAGCCACCGAACAGACAGTACGCTCAAGCTCAAAATAACGGACCGCCATGCCCACAATGTTCACATTGTTCGTGTTCAGCAGACAATAAATTCAGTACTTTGGATTCCGACAACAGCCAATTTTTAAGGCACACAAGCGGCTTCACTGCAAGCATCGCACCACCGCCGTCTCAACTGAACAACCTTCCTTCTTCTGCTCAGCAAACACCGCCGCAGGATCAGATCTCTTCGGTTTTGTACTGCAATAATTCGGTGCCTCCCCCTCCTGTTCCCCACTACAGTCTTCCCCAGTTCCCTCCTCCCTCTCTCCCACAGCAGGCATTGCCCTCCATCCTATTTGGTGCCCAGCAGGGAACCAATTATTCGGGCGGTGGAGAGTCCTATTCTGCGCCAGATCACTCGTCCATAGGTTAGTGATAATCAAACCTTAATTATTTGCTCTGTAGTAACATGACTAAATTAATGAAATTTTGTTACTAATGGCACCGTAGGCATAGAGCGGAAAGAGCCTTGTGCTAAAATTAATATATTGAATTTCACCCATTTTTTGTAAGGAATATTTCAGCCGGCATATCAGGTTATCGGTGATGCTTATTTTGGTGCAGCTTCTTACATAAATAATTTAAAAAATTTTCGCAAATTTACACATTCTGCTGTAGACTAAAACTTCAGTTCCCGCGCTGGATATCAACGAACTTCTGTGAGCATTTCGCAAATTTTATGCTTAGATTAAATTGAAAATGGAATTCTATTTGTATTTATTTACATTCTAATTTTGCGTTCTCATTTATTAATTGGATTTACACAACCAAGCTATTTACCTTATTTAATATATGAGAATTAAATTGCTTCCTTGTGGTTTATATATCTTCTTTTCCAGATGAAGAAGTCTCCTAATATTTTTTTATACCAACTATGGTTAATTCTCGCGCAATTTTATTCATTCCCATCTTGAAAAAAAAAACAAATCATTGGAATGATTCCTTTTATACATCGACTTGTCCTCCTTCAGCTATCGAGTTACCCCCAGAAAACCATCGACATTAGGTATTGCGTTTTTTGCTCCTCGATTACTTGTACCGAGACTTTATTAATTCGAATGCACTACTATTGTTGGAATGGCTGATGGCAATCGCCCCTCCAGCAGTTTGTTCTAATTTTTAGTTGGATTTTGTCATTGATATTGATTAAACTACTTGAAAATTTGCACCCTAATAACGGGGTAAGTGCTGGTTGTAACTATAACAGTGATGCTCTAACCTTATAAATTTTTATTATTGATCAGCATTACGAAAACCTTCACTATTGGCGTCGCGAGTTGACGTCGCGTTACCAGCGGTAAACATGAAATTGTTGATTACGGTTAAATAAAATCTCTTTGCTTTTAGTTATCCGATGCGTATAATGGCATGATCGTACAAATAAAAACAAATGTCAACTGTACGCTTCTAGCGGTTTTTCTACAACTTTATGTTCACGAGATTAGAAACGGGAAATGGTCGCGATTATTAGCTTGATTTGAACACTAGATAAACGACAGAATTAGCCGACGGGATAAAGTTCACAATGAATTCATCGAAGACGCATTGATTTATTCGAGAGGCGACGTGGAATCTCCGACATTTCGCTAGTGGTCTTTTTGCGGTGACTGGGCGGCCGATGGAAAGAAAAACTAAACGCGTTCTGTGTCACGTCTGTAGTCTATAGTTCTGTAGACCTGCTGCGAGTGAAGTGTCATGAACAATACTTGCATGAGATTTTCAACCGTCCACTTCATTTTTACACTTTCCTGGATGTCTCTTAGTTTTGATGCCAGGGCTGAAAATGTCAATAAATATGATTCGGTTATATAAGATAAGCTAACATGTTATCGTCAAAATAATCGAATTTCGTTCATATTGTCATATATAATAAGAAACGTAACGGGAAGTTGTAGAAATACAAGTAGTTGTTCTCATTATGGCTAATCTTTTGTTTACTCTGCGGTTTAATTAATAAGAACCTATTTAATAATTTTAGGGATTTTTTCAATTACTCGTTCTATTTGACATTAATCGCAAAAATTACAACATTTACTAGCAAATTTTAAATGAGTGGTATAACTGATGAAAACCTAACATAATATTTTCTTTTTATTCAAAACATTTTCCGAATTAAAAGTGTTAATTCATATTTTTGTTATGCTCTCTAAAACTTTCTGAAAAGATTTGTTCGATCAATAGTCAAAACTCTACGGAAATTACGCCCGGTATTCAAGTTAGTTTATTTTGCACCACACCTCTATAAAAAATTAATTTTCTCCTTAAGAGTTAATGAACTAATACACCAAACGTAAACCTATACGTAGAATTGAATGTTTCTACAGATGATCATGACGAAATATGGTTAATTTGTTCAGTTAATGAGTTCAAACATCCATTTTCGAAATCCTTCATTGGGCGAAGCGAAGCATTGGAAGACCTAACATTCGTGTTAGGTCTTCCAGTAATAATAAATTAGAAGACTATACTTTTCCAGTAATAATAAATTAAGAAGATAAATTCTTCGAGTAAAAATAAATTAAGAATATAAATTCTTCCAGTAAAAATAAATTAAGAATATAAATTCTTCCAAAAATAATAAATTATGAATATATATTTTTTTCGGTAATAATAAATTAAAAATATAAATTCTTCCAGTAATTTTAAATTAAGAATATAAATTCTTCCAGTAATAATAAATTAAGAATAAATATTCATTCGGTAATAATGAATTAAGAATATAAATTCTTCCAGTAATAATAATTTAAGAATATATTTTCTTTCGGTAATAATAAATTAGGAATATAAATTTTTTCGGTAATAATAAACTAAGAATATAAATTTTTCCAGTCATAATAAATTAAGAATATAAGTTCTTCCGGTAATAATAAATTAAGAATATAAATTCTTCTGGTAACAATGAATTAAGAATATACATTTTTCCAGTAATAATGAATTAAGAATATAAATTTTTCAGGTAATAATGAATTAAGAATGTAAATTCTTCCGGTAACAATAAATTAAGAATATAATTTTTTCCAGTAATAATGAACTAAGAATATAAATTTTTCAGGTAATAAAGAATTAAGAATATAAATTCTTCCAGTAATAATAAATTCGAATAACAAGATTGAAACCTTTACATTATGTCAACGACCACTGCTGAAAAGAAAATATTTCTGTACCTTTAATAGATATAAGCAGCCGAACGGAGAATTTTCAAATCCTATTTAAGTTTGTAAAATGTAAGTATACACGCTGTATCTGTGATCAGAAATCATTAAGTTTTAATTTTCGATAAGTACATTTTCGATAAATCATTTACAGCGGCTAGTTTATGATCAAGCTAAACCTTGAGCGCAAAGAACCCAGTGCAATTATAAGTCCTCATCATGGCAGCAGTCGCGGAGTGCAGCGTGCGTGGGTGCGTTATATGCACGTTCAGTTGAGTGGTCCAACACGCGTCACGAGGCTCTAAAATTAACTCTTAGTTCGTGCCTTGTTAGGCGGCTCAACCTGCAGTCATGTCCTAGCTCGCCTGTATTGCGCCTATACATTATTTAAACTGACTGAATTATCCACGTCCTTTACAAAAAGATGTTCATGTAAAGATTAATGGTTGATATTTGTCATGATAACGTATTTATGTATAAATTCATTAATTAATTCATTAATCGTGCCTTGTTAGGCGGCTCAACCTGCAGTCATGTCCTAACTCGCCTGTATTGCGCCTATACATTATTTAAACTGACTGAATTATCCACGTCCTTTACAAAAAGATGTTCATGTAAAGATTAATAGTTGATATTTGTCATGATAACGTATTTATGTATAAATTCATTAATTAAATTTAGAGAAACTGTAAGAGTTCCTCGTGACATCGTCTTTTTCTGTTGCCGGGATGCTCAAAAAAACTCGTTCATTTAATTGCTCAGCACAATAGACTCGCTGCGTCTGCCCACGCATCTCGCAGCGAAACTGCCGTGTTAGGCGACACGATCGGCGAGACCGAACAGTGTCTGCCGTATTGTATACGACCACGTATTGTATTATATACGGCCATACATTGTATACGGCCACGTATTGTATTGTATACGGCCACGTATATTGTATTGTATACGGCCACGTATTGTATTGTCTGCCGTGCATTACACGTATTGTAGTTGTACAGGCCACGTATTGTAGTTATGCAGGCCACGTATTGTAGTTATGCAGGCCACGTATTGTAGTTATGCAGGCCACGTATTGTATATAGTTATGCAGGCCACGTATTGTAGTTATGCAGGCCACGTATTGTAGTTATGCAGGCCACGTATTGTAGTTATGCAGGCCACGTATTGTAGTTATGCAGACCGAGCGTGTGCTGCGTTGCCAAGTATGACAGCGGCGAATGTAACCCTCTACCGTCGAAACAATTATTAGGTGTTTTTCTCCGCGGTATTACGGTACAGCTTTCTTAAACACCCCGCTCAATTAGAAGAATTAGTAATTAAATAGTTTTCACTAAATGATGTAAACACTGCATAACGATAACTGAATGATTCAATACAATAACGTTTTTTCTTGAATAATAAAAAGGTAAAGGAAATCGAAAACTGTAACTAAAAGTTACAGTAACAGTAACTCTCGTTGTAACTAACAGCAGGAGCCTGATGCCAGGTCGTAATTTATACAAATGTATCAAGTTTGTCTGTGCAACGCACAGCCTCTGCACTAAACAAAACAGAGACAATTTCATTATTTCTTACGCCACATTAATCTGTTGTTCATGACGTGGCAATATATCTCCACACAGCTTTATTTTATCTGCATAAACCTTCTGTGTACAAAAATCTGTAAATTACTGGTAGTTAATCAGCTATTTATATCTTTGAACGAGAAAGATTTAGATTAGTAATCTCACTTCTGCGGATTTTTATAAAATATTTCAGAAACCCTTACTCATGAAAACATCGAGAAGATAATAACATAACGCGACCAACAATTTGAAATCTAAGCTGCTTGTTATCGATAGCATTTCCGAAGTGTGGATACTATAATGATTTTAAATAAGTTCAAGAAAACAAAACTCCTACAAAAGTGTGCCATGAGATTGTTTTCATTTTAATTGGCATTTGGGAGTTATCGATTCATTTAAGAAGAAACATATTTTAATCGCTTAATCTAATTAATATTTGGCATTGATTCATGGTGAGTTACACAAATTTCAGGTCCTGGCTCCAGCTAAATTGAAAGTTTTTGAACGCGAATCAACTTGTTTTATTGTACTCGTGCTATTTTATATCACGTAGCTCAATTAACGGCTATGCATTTTACTTTTCTCACGTGCCGATGCTTCTGGCAACTTAATATTCGTGCACGTTGTGTAAACTCGGGCCTCGACGAAAAA